TTTTCCTTGCACACAAGCAAGTCTCATTTTGTTTTTCTGACCCCTTTTCTTGCAGACTTATGGGAGTGGTAACCTAAAGCGTGTAGGAGTTATACTCCAAAAGGGAGTTCTGGTTCTTCTCTTAGCCTGTTTCCCCTGCTGGGCCGTCCTCATTAACACTCAGCCCATTCTGCTGGCTGTCAGACAGAGCCCAGAGGTTGCCAGGTGAACCACTTCCACTTCAAAATCAGTGTTTCACAGCCGTACAATAGCACGAATACTCTTGCATGGTGTTGTATTACATCAAATGTTACATATACACTGATTACTTGTGAATGATTTTTTTTGCACTTGTTTCTGATTTACCCTTTTTCTGTCTGCCATAAAGACTCTCCCAGCTGTATGTGAAGATCTTTATGCCGGCTTTGCCAGTGAGTTCAGCTTCCTCCATGGTTCTACAAAATGTTTTTTGTATCTCCATCTATATACGCTGTATTGAATGGTTGTTGTGTTGCATTATTGATCTAATTAACCCTATTCATCGCCTCGTGTTGAATTCTGCAGGCTGCCTTCATGTACCAGCTGCAGGGGAGGTATCTTCAGAATCAGGTGCATTTAATGACTGCAAGACCACTGATGTGAAACAAAATAATCACTGAAAGTTTGTCAGTAATGACATCATTTTGTGCGTGTGTGAGAAAGGAACATGTACTGTGAGAAAGTAACAAACAGCAGTGGCACTGATGCGTTGAAATGGCGGTTTTTAAACAGCTTGCTTTGGTTCACAGGGCATCATGTGGCCTCAGGTGATAGCTGGAGCCATCAGCAATGTTTTAAATGCAATAATTAACTACATCTTCCTCAATCTTCTGAATCTCGGTGTTGCGTGAGTACACCCACCATAATAATCTATAATATTATTATATAATAATAAATTATATTACTCAAAGTATCAATAAACACCTTTTCTGTTTGTTGTTGTTGTTTAATCCTCTTTATACCACTAAAGTGGATCTGCAGCTGCCAATGCCATATCACAGTATTCCCTGGCTGTGTTCTTGTTTGTGTACATCTGCTCCAGGGGTCTGCACAAAGCTACATGGGGCGGTAAGTTTAAGGGATTATGGTACTGTAGGGATAACTTAATTTGACTGTTACTACCTAATGATTTCAGCATGTTCAGATTGTCGTTGTGAGTGTGTCTGCGTGCTGATGTTAGAATTTAGCTCAAAGCACCTCTGTGCCTAAGAACAGCCTTGCAGATCCGCCAGCATGTCTGTTGTAGTCTCTTGTTTAATCTGTCATGTGATGAACATCCCATTGTAGACATGACAGTCTCACAGTTCTTCAGTTAAATAGTAGCATAACATGGCTGTGTGGTGTCTCGATGAGTATAAATTAGGGCCCCCGTAATAGTTGAATTAACCGTTAGTCGATGTCTTCATAGACACTTTTTTGTTAGTCAGATAATGGCAGAAAAACAAACGTCAAAATCAGTCTTGGAGCTGAGTCTTGTCACCCGGACAGAAGTATCAGGGGATTGCTGAAACACAAACCTTTTTTTTGTGTTACACAGGAGTCACTAACTGGTGCACTGTTGCATATGCTAACTGTACTTGCTAGTTAACAATCCTATTAGCTGTCTGTACCTGGCCTGGGATCTCGAAGGACAGGGGTAGTTTAAACACTATTAGCATAGGAGCGGGGAATACAGTGGGGAATATTGCCAAGGAGTGCACAACGAAAACTGGGTTCACAGCCTCCAAGAAGAACGGAGGCTCCAACCAGGACTATGACTCTGGGGTTGAAGACACACAAGTTCATTTTTGAGTAACTGTTACAGTTACATGACTACAGTTACATCAGAGGATTCTGTTGCTGCGTTGCCTATTTCTCTCCTAAAATCATTTCAGAAACATATTTTAGTGTACTGTTTAGCTTTAATACGAGATTGTGGACGAGTGGAAACTGCGCAGCCAATGAGAGCAGCTCAACTCGCAGTACGTCACCTTTGCTTGCTCTGTCATGACGCCAACTGTCATGGCAAGCTAAAACGTCAAATTCGAGGCTTCAAAATGGTACTTCACAAAACCACTGGGTGATGTCACGATAGGCTCACGCCTGGTTAAAATGTGTATTTAAATAATGTTAATGCTACTGGCTTTATCTATAGACTACTTATCGAGTAGGACAACAGCCTTAGAATAAATACATTTCACTGAATGCATCTCACTTCCTTTTATCTCTCACTGTAGGTTGGTCAGGAGACTGCCTGCAGGAGTGGGGTCCTTTCCTCAAACTGGCCATCCCCAGCATGCTGATGCATTGTCTGGAGTGGTGGCTGTATGAGATCGCCGGGTTCCTGGCAGGTATCATCAGTGAGGTCGAGTTGGGAGCTCAGTCTATAGTCTATGAACTGGCTGCTGTTGTTTACATGGTAACTTCTTTATTGCTTTTTTTGTAGTTAGGATGGATTAGTGATAGAACACAAAATCTATGCTAATGTAATATTTGTGTAGATACCTGAAACATTGATAGAATCTTGGTTTATTACTTTATTTGTCTACAAAGTAATGTTTTTGTTTATGTTGTCCTGTCCCACAGTTTCCAGTGGGTTTCTCTGTCACTGCCAGTGTGCGGGTAGGAAATGCTCTTGGTGCTGGGAACACAGAGCAAGCCAAGCTATCCAGCAAGGTCTCCCTCATATGTGCATGTATGAATGAGATATAAAGCCTGACAAATCTCCACAGAGGAGGCAATGGCTGCTATGTCGAGTTGTGTTACGCAGGAGAGCTCCACGGATATGTTCCTCTGATCTACAAACAAAACCTTTTTCAAAGTCATTTGCCATGTTTGTCCTTTTAAATGTTGTTCTCTGCCTTCTGTTCTCTCTGTCACTTGTTCATTTAAAATATATTCTAATCCATGGTATGCTTTGTATATCTTTACCACCTTTGTGTAGTAGCGTGCTTTGTTTCTTATGCCCAATCCAGCTACTGTCTCCTGCATCATTGGAGCTTGTCTTGGTGTGTCTAGGGATGTGATTGGTTACATTTTTACCACAGAGAGGTAAGTACAGATTTTTCATCAGTTTTTGTTTTCTTACCTCAAAAACAATAGCTAACAGACAAACCCGGCACAGAACTCGTATAAAGTATAATTCATCATGTATTAACTTCTGACACTGACCCTTGATAGCAAAAGGAGTTTGGACTTTTGCTTTTTGCACTGTCACTACCTGAGACATGGTAGTTATTTAATGTTCGATCAACTTTGAACTCTGTGTTTGTTAGAATTTCATTTTCATATCTGCATTTCCTTTTAGAGACATTATTCAGAGAGTAGCTGATGTCATGAAGATGTACTGTTTCGTCCATGTTGCTGAGGCCTATGCGGTGATAACCCTTGCCATACAAGTCACTTTATCCCTCCTGCTGATTAAAATAAACCTGACCTGGTTGCACAGATTTTAGATTTCTCTTTGTTTTACCTCCACAGGGTGTGATACAAGGCATTGTCAGGGGGGCAGGGAAGCAAAAGATTGGTGCCGTGTGTAACCTGGTGGGTTTCTACTTCATTGGGTTGCCAATTGGAGTGTCTTTGATGTTCCCTGTCAAAATGGGCATTGTGGGTGAGGACATATTAAATATTAAGTAGTAAGTGACAAATTTAATCATATTTCCACTCAAACTTATAAACTGCCCGTTTCCATCTCTGTTGCAGGGATGTGGGCAGGGTTTTTAATTAGCGTTTTGATACAGTCTGTATTTTTTACACTTTTTCTGTGTAAACTAAACTGGAAGAAAGCCACTGAAGAGGTGAGTAACTCTAATGGTACAAGTACAACTAATTTAGTTAATACAGTGACATTGCAAAATTATGATAACTGCAAAATCAGCAATGTGGTCAGCATGTGGTATTAATATTGTAGTTTGTTATTATGTGTCTTTTAAATATGAAAAAACCCTGATCTAGATGTTTTTAATATCTCTGAATAGGCAATGGTAAGAGCAGGAGTCAACATTACAGAGAGCAACAACATCTTTGGGATAGAAAACAAGGGTAAACACAAGTTATTTTACCTACAGCTACGTGTACATGTACAGCTAGCCGACATGAACCATTTAAGTAAAACTCTCTCCCTCACAGCCCTGGACTCTGATGAGAAACAGCCCCACATAAAGACCAGTCGATGTAGTTCTCTGAGTCTGGTAGAGGGGAAGCTGGAAGCACTCGGTGCAGGTCAGCAGACTTCAAATGACGTGGCTCTGTCAGTCAGGCAGCTGGTGATACGACGTGGCGTCACTGTGCTGCTCATGTTCGTCATCCTCGCTGCTGGAGTCTTCATCAGTGAGCTGCTCACCCTGCTCGAATTAGATGAGTGACCATTATTGGACCACATGTGTGCAGCACAAAAAACAAAGCTCTGTCTGTGTGCCTCTGAGAGTCCAGATGCATCACCATCTTTGAAGCATGTCACATAGACAAAATACATACACACGCAATAAACAGACACCTACAGTTGTCAGGAAAATAATATTTACCAGAATATGTTCTTGATAATCTGCCGTTTAAGTGATTGGGATGAGAAGAAGCTTCCATTGTATAATATTGGCCCCCTGATTTGTAATGAGAAATTTCCATTGCATACTGCACGTTTACAGACTTTAAGGCAATTTATTGTGCACTGATGATGGGGAAAATATTAGAATGAATTTTAATTACTGAGTATAAAAATGTTTTTTGGAGAAATCAGAATCAGAAATACCCAGGGGGAAATTACTTTCGTTACAACTCCAGATATACATTCAACATATATACATACAACATATAATAAATTAAGAACATATATATATAAATACATATATATATATATATTTATTATTATATATATATAAATATGTATATATATATATATATA